TAGGGTAAAGGGCAACCCTCTGGGTCTGGGTTTGGCAGATGGTGCAGCTGTCCCTGTCAGGTCGTTGAGCTTATGGGCCTGGGGTTGGCCCTTTCTACTGAACCCAGTGACTGGGTTTGGTGTGGGCCATCTGACACCATTTCTTTTTCTTAGATCCTGGAAGATATCAATCTTGTCCAGTTCCCAGACTCAATGAGGTCTTGGCAGGTCCCCTGAAGTGGCTCTCTTTACTATGGCCTCACACAAGATGGTCAACAGAGCACTGTGAGACCTCTCTGGAAGCGGAAGTGCGGCCAGCCTTGGGACCAGATCATACCTGGAAGCTTTAGGCTCCAAGCAGGCTGCCCTCTTCTTGTAATGCTGGGATTCAGGAGGCTTCACAGCCCAAAGGAGAATTTAGGGGTCTAGCATGCCTGTATCTTTTTCCTGGTACTCTTGTTTTATGAACAGATACAGGGTGGGCTTGCCTTTACCCAAAGTGGTGGTGAGTCTGGCCACTGTCCTGTCTCCCTGGTGTAGTTCCTTGCTGGGGCTAGTTCTGGTCCAGCTTTTGTTTTGGGCACAGATATCCAGAGAAGTGGCTGATATGGGGAGGAAAAGGAGCAGGCAGGTAGAGTTGGAAGGGCCAGGCCTACATCCTAGTATTAGTCCCAATTAAAGATGTTGTTCAATAACCAAGGTGGATGGGGTTGGTCTCTTGCCATCAGAACACTCCCATCTTCTGGGCTCTTGACAACCTTAGTAGGCCATTCCCCCAGAGGTAGGCCAGGATTTCCTGGGAGACCTCCCCGACCCCACCCCCTGCTACTGGACCAGCCTTGCCACTCGTTGGATTATTTTAGGGCCTGTCTCATCTCCTTGCTGGTGCTGAATTAAGCTGCTTCCTGGCTCCAGCTTTGCATGGGGTGGCTTAGCAGGTAGTAGGCTTGCTGAGGGTCTTCCTAGGCTGCCCCTTAGCCACTGGCCAGGGCAGGGGAGGGGTGGGAAAGGAGCCACTGTGCCTCACACATCTCTAGGATCCTGGCAGTCCTGTTTCCTTTATAGCTTCCTCCCTCCACTGTGACAAGAGTTCATCTCTTCTCTTGGTGGAGGGAGAGGAGGCTTGCTCAAGATGCAGGGCTTGTGTGTGCAGGTATGTACATGCATGTACTGTCACTGAGCATTCCCCAAGAACTTTCTGTGTGTGCAAGATCCTGGACCTTTTTGCCTAGAGGCCTGGAGTGGTGGAGAGACAGGGAGACCATCAGTTACAGTGCAGCACAAGACCTGCCTCCTCAGTGGGTACTTGGGATCAGAGAGGAGGGGCTGCTTGGCAGGGAGCAACAGAAAGTTTTGAGGGGGAGGATCGAGCTGAGTCTTGCAGGATGGGCAGGAGTTTCCCAGGCAGAAGGGAATATGGAATAGGGGTGAAGAAGGACATTTCAGGCAGAGGAAGTAGCTTACGCAAAGGCAGGAAGCATGGGAGGACGTGGCATGTTTGGGGAGCTGCAAATAGTTCCATGTGGGTGTGTGTGGGGGTGTGGTGGGTGAGGAGGCTGTCAGGGCTGGGCCAGAGCCTGGATCTGTCCCTCCCTCTGTCACACAGATACTCAGTGGGTGCCTGCCCATCTGGGCTCTGGCCCCTGATGGGACCTGGAGATGCTGAAAAGGAGTGAAAGGTGACAAATCTGGGCAGTCTTGTGTGGGCCATTCTAAAAGACAGCCTTGCATGCTGGGCTTGGGAGTTTAGTTTCATCCTAAAGGTGAATTGGGAGCCATTGAGAGGTTCTAAGCAGGATGATCATGTGTGTTCTAGTGTCTATTGGGGACACTGAGAGGTTCTGAGCAGGAAGATCATGTGTGTTCTGGTGTCTTTTGGAGTATTAAGCTCAGAGCCCCTTAAGGGCTGCTGAAGTGATTCCAGGAAAGACCCTGGGACCCAAACTGGCAGGCCAGGGATGGAGAGGAGAGATCAAGTGACCTTCCACCCATTTCTCCATCTGACCTATACTAGATGTTTCTTTGCACAGCATAGGTTGCTAGGGTTAGGGACATGAAGATAGGCTTTGTGGCAGGCACTGTCCCTTGGTCTGTCAGCAGGAGGTCTGCCAGAACCTTCTGCCTGTCTGGCCAGTCTTGTCTTGGCATGAGTAGGGCACTTGCACCATCTAGAGACAAGATGTGGTACTGTAGGAATTTATGCCTCTGTCTGGGTGGGGTGGGAGGAGCTTCAGACCAAGAGAAATGACTATGCTGCAAGGTAGACTTGATATTGGCAAGAGAGTTTACAGCAAAATATTGGGAGGGAGGTGTGGGGGCAAAAGAGAGTGCCACTGAACCACCCTGAAAGGCTCCCCAAGAGTACATTTGAACTTGACAGGGCAGGGGGGAGCTAGATAGTCAGAGGTGTGGGTAGATGGGCATTTTTGGCCAAGGGACAGTTTGGACTGTGTTAATGCTACTAATAACCAAGAATAGTTACGGAGCAATTGCTGAATGCTAGACCTGGGCTAAGTCCTTGTGAAGTATCTTGTTCATATGACAGTCTTATAAGTAAATATCAAGGAACTGGGGCTCCAAGAAACTAAGGGACTTGTGCAGGATCACATGACCTGGGATATACACCTTGGCCTGCCTCCAGCTGTGGTTCTGACAACTGCATCATACTGCTTGCCACTAAAGCTCTGAGCCAAGCTTGATGTCGTAGGATTCAAGGGGGCAGCAAGAGGCCGGGCGTGGTGGCTCATGCCTGTAATCCTAGCACTCTGGGAGGCCCAGGTGGGCAGATCACTCAAGGTCAGGAGTTCCAAACCAGCCTGAGCAAGAGCAAGACCCTGTCTTTACCAAAAATAGAAAGAAATTAATTGGCCAACTAAAAAACATATAGAAAAAATTAGCTGGGCATGGTGGTGCATGCCTGTAGTCCCAGCTACTTGGGAGGCTGAAGCAGGAGGCACCTGAGCCCAGGAGTTTGAGGTTGCTGTGAGCTAGGCTGACACCACGGCACTCTAGCCCAGGCAACAGAGTGAGACTCTGTCTCAAAAAAAAAAAGGCAGGGGGAAGCAAGGGCTCCAGAGCTGTAGAGAGCTGGGGGTGACCCCTGGGGTCTGCTAAGAGGTGAAAGCCTGGAATATGTGCCCAAGTCCCAGGCAAAATATGACTCCAAGGTAGGGCTGGGCTGGCCAGAGTGGAAGAGGCAGAGCAGGGCTGAGAAACCCCTAGGAGGATGTTGACAGATCTTGGAAAGGGCTGGAGTAGAAGGGCAAAGGTGAGAACGGGTAATAATGATGTTACAGTGCTGGGAAGGCAGGCAGGGGAGAAGATTATGTGGAGGTAGAGAGATGGGCTGTTTAAACTTAGGGGTCAGCAGGTCCTTGGTAGGGGGAGAAAGGAGCCTTTAAAACATGCAAAACCCAGCATTGAGGACCCAAGATTTGTGTTAAATCTCCTGGATCCAGGAACACATGCTGCTCGGGGCCCAGCCTAAGGGCTGGACAGACTTAGGCACCTTGAAAGCTGACATGGGAAACAGGTAGCAGAAAGTGGACAAAGTAGGGCCCCTGATGCCAGGAGTAGAAATGAGTGCTGGCCCTTGTAGGCCTTGGGGGTCAGTCCTTGCGTAGTGCTAGAGGCTCATACAAGAGCCCCACATGGCTGACTGGGCTTTCTGGGAGCCAAGGAAGAGAGGGTAGAGAGGGAGTTTAGGGAGGGAGGGGAGTTTAAGGAGAGAGTTTAAGAGTGGGATGTGCAGGGAGTAGGGCCCCAGAGAGACTTGGAGGAGAACCAATAGTTTTGGGCTTAGCTGGGAAGAGATTTGGGAAGTGGGGCATGGGTTGAATAAGTCATCTAGGGGGCTCGTGGCTGGCCCTACTTGAGGGACTAGGAGGATCCCCTCAAAGAATTTCATTAGCACCCCAGAGGTCAGTGATCCCATGTCCTGACCAGTGCTACCTCCAGCCCCTCAACAACCATATGCCAGGTCCCCAACCTGACCTCTTTACCCTGTGAGCATGTAAACATACACACTCTTGCTTTCCCAGGGCATGGCCCTTGAGGGCTCTGGGCTCTTTTCCTTGTTCCCACTCTTCAGTTTTGCTTCCTTTCCTGCCATAAATTCTCTGCCAGGGAAGCCTGCTCTCCTTTAGGAGGCAGGAGGGAAACGAGCTGATATGACTATGCTGGATCCAGGCCCCAGGATCAGCCAGCCTGCAGTCCTACTGGTGGCCTTGGGGGAAGTGGGGGCTGAACAGGAGGGCCCGTCAGGAGGTGGAAAGGCCCCCTAAGTGGTGCTGTTGATGGGCTATGTAGATGGCGATGGTTTAGAGGTCCTCTCTGTTCTTCCCTCCACAGTCTTTTGGAGGGCAGAGACTAAGTCTGATCCCTCACCATGACCCCAGGGTCTCTAGCACAGGGCATGGAATGTTTGTGGAAGAAATAAATGAAGGAATGGATGAGAGCAGGATGCCATAGGCAGGAGCCACAGAAATAAATGAAGGAATGGATGAGCAGCAGGATGCCATAGGCAGGAGCCACAGATGGGTTCCAGCAGAAAAATAGCTAGTTCTATCCTGGTATGTAGGGCTACATGGCCTATTGGAGCTGGTAGTTCTGCCAGGCCTGACCTGAGTGGGCATAGACCCAGAGGCAGAGGGTTTGGGGGCCTCCTTCCTTTTTATTTTTTTATTTTCTGGAGACAGGGTCTTGCTCTGTTACCCAGGCTGGAGTGTGGTGGTGTCATCTTAGCTCACTGCAACCTCAGACTCCTGGGCTTAAGCGATCCTCCTGCCTGAACCTTCCCAGTAGCTGGGACTACAGGTGTGCACCACAGTGCCTGGCCAATTTTTTTTATATATTTAGTAGAGACAGGTCTTGTTCCTGTTCAGTCAGGTCTCAAACTCCTGACCTCAAGCAAGCCTTCCACCTCAGTATCCTGGAGTGCTAGGATTACAGGCATGAGCCACTGTACCTGGCCTGAGGGCGTCTTTCGTTTGCCCAACTCTGACACCTCTTTGCTTCTCCAGGTGCCCCCTGAGAAGTGCCGTTGTGCAGTGGGCAGCATCCTGAGTGAAGGTGAGGAATTAGCCTCTCCTGAGCTCATCCATCTGTACGAGAAATTTGGCTTCAAAGTATTCTCATTCCCGGCACCCAGCCATGTGGTGACAGCTACCTTCCCGTATACCACCACCCTGTCCATCTGGCTGGCCACCCGCCGTGTGCATCCTGCCTTGGACACCTATATCAAGGTGAGGCCCAGGGTTGGGATTGCGCGTGGGTGCGTGCGCGTGTGCGTGCGTGTGTGTGTGTGCGTGTGTGTGTGTGTGTGTAGCAGGTCCCTTGGATGGGAGCTGGGGAGGATTGCCCAGGTTGGGAGGAAGAGGTGGTTTGGGGAGAGAAGCACCCTGTGGCCCTCTATGGAGCTAGGAAGATGGACAGAGGCTGCTGACATCTCTTCCAGATGCCTGAGACCTTGTAGGGGCCAGGGCATCTCCCAAGAGCATGGAGAGTTGTTCAGAAGCCTGGCTTCGTCAGTTTGGCTCTAGCTTTGACCAAAGACATCCTTAGTGCTCATCCTGCACTCCTGGCTTAGATGGATGGACAGGCCCACCCTCTTCCTATCCTGCTGGAGGCCTGCAAAGCAAGGCCCTGAGGCTCCAAGTGACTGGGCAGGCCCCAGGTACCCATATGTTGCCCCTCACCCTGCCTCTGCATGGATTTATGCATCTGCTCTCTGAACACAGGCCTGCAGTAGCAACAGCAGGCCCTGTCTTTTAACTGATGTGATCATTAGCAATGCTGCCCAGCCTTCCAGAAGCATGGAAGAGAGCTAGCCATCAGGAGGTGTGACAGGGGTCTGTATCTACAGAGCTTTTTAAAACTTGCCCTATTGTACATCCCTTCTCCTCTAAACATTTTGTAAACTTGGATATGAGGGAAATGACTTCAGTTTGGGCTTGAAAGTGATTGTTTATTCATTCATGTAACTTATATTTATTAAGCATCTGTGCGCCAGTTGCCATGATGGGTATGAAGTGAAATCTTGGTACATGAAACAGGCATTTATAGTGAGGTGATGAAGATAAGTAATGAATGTCAGACAGAAATGGGACACAGGAAAGAATAGGACAAGAAAAGTCAGGGGACCAACTTGGACAGAGTGGTTAGGGACAGCCTGTTGGAGGAGGTAACCTCAAGAGAGTTCTAGAAGAGCCTTTGGAGAGGAGTAAGAATGTTCTAGGCAGAGCAGGGGGAGGAACACAGATTTGATCTAAATGCAGTGGGAAGTGACTGCATTGTTCCAACCATAAAAGTTATATGGTTGGAGCCACATCTATAGAAGATGGGCTGTCCTATCCCCGGGTAGGGTAGAACTGGGTCACAGATCAGGGACTGGGTAGAGGTGCTTAGGAGGCTGTCATGAATCCCAGTGTGAGTGGTGGCAGCTTGGGCTGGGACAGTGTCTATAGGGATGGAGACAAATACAGAGATTTACAAAGATTTTCGGGTAGAACCAATCGACTTTTTAGGTGGATTTGCTATTGGGGGAGGGGAGGATGTAGGGGGAGTCACAGAGGGCTCTGCTTCCCTGTGGCCTAAGCATGTAGTGATCATGCTTTCACTGAGATGTGGGGGAACTGAGGGAGGCCCTGATTTTTGGGGGGAAACCAGCTCTGTAGGCTATGTCAGTGGAGCTGCCTGAGAGACATCCCAGTGAGGGGCTGTGGAATTAGCAGTGCATATGTAGAATCTGGAGTTCAGAGAGGGCTGGGCTGGTGGATATTTTTGGGAACATTGGCCTGTTGGCAGTATTTGACCTGGGAGTCTGCCCTGGGCCTCCTATCCTCTGTGGGGTCAGGCAGACAATAGCTTGTGGCAGCAAGAGCTGTTCAGGGGGTGTGTCCAGTGTGGCTGGAGTCAGTGAACAGGACAAGAGAGTCAGTGAGAGTGGGACCTTGGTGGACTTGGAAGAACCTTTCCACTTTGTTCTCCAGGGCAGCTTGGGGAAAGGGACAGGGCATTGGTGATGGAAATGGACAAGGCTTAGACAAGTCCTGCTAAGGGAGTGCAAGAGTGTGGTGTCAGGCCTGAGGAATGAATAAATAAGGCCCTGAGTCACCAGCTTTGGCCTTGATGGTCAAGGACAGAATTGAAGAAACAGGTGAGAAGACCTGGAAATAGGAGGGCTGTCACAGTGTTAGGGCCAGGGCACAGGGAGGATAGAGGCAAGTTTCCTTTGTGATCTGGAAGGTGGAGGCCAGAGGGGTGCTGGGAAGGATGTACTTGCCAGGGCTGGGGTTGGGCTGGAGATGGGTGAGCTGTCTGGCTGGCCGTGAGGGCAGGAAGGGAGACACAGGGCCCTACTCCTGCTCAGTGTGCCACCTCAGAGGGGACCTCCCCCATTTCATTCAAGAAAGGGTTGGTGAGTGGTGTCTCCAGTCCTGTCTGTCACTCTCAACCTCAAGAGCTAATCTGGAGAAACACCCCCCGGGAAGAGACTTCTTGGGTTCTAAACCTCAGAACAGAGAGCATGGCATGTGGTGTGGTGGCGAGCAACTCAGCCACCAAAGCCTTTTCCTGGCTTCAGGGGTTTATTTTTAGACACCTTTGTCCAAATTTCCCGGCCCCTGACAGCTTCACAAGTTGCCTGGTTTTGACGTCACCTCTTTGATGAAAGCCCTTCCTCCTTCCTCCCCCTCTCGTGGGAGCCTGTCAGCTGTGCACTGGGCTCAATTCTCCTGGGGTGGGGGTTGGGATAAAGAAGCCAGGGATTCGGGGGAGAGCCAGGGGCTTCTCTCAGAGATATGTGAGGTATATTTGTGTGGGCTTAGCCACCAGCTGAGAGAGTGAGAGAGAAGCCAGGCTGCCCACAGAGGAGGCACAACCCCAGGTCCTTGGCTTGTTTTGGCAGCAGGGGACCTTGCATCCTAGGGAACAAAGCTGGGGGGAGAGATGAGGAAGGGGCTGGCTCTGTTTGCTGGGCACAGCCTGCAGCAGACCGGGGTGGCCCTGTGCCTCTCTCAGCCCAGAAGACAGCAAGAAGAGTATAAGGCTCCCTCCTGCCCTTGCTTTCTTCTTCCCTACTGCCCTGGGGGTCAGAGAAAGGAGGCTACTAATGAGGCTCTGGGTACTTCTGACTCTCCCATCCCCGACAGCTGGCTGCCTTTAACTCTGTGTGTGTGTGCATGCGCGTGTGCATACCCTTCCTTTTCTCTCTGGATCTAGGACTGCTGTGAAGGTTCTTCAAACGGAATGACAGCAGCCGTCAACTTTCTGTTTCAGGAGGGATGAGGGAGGCCAGGAGTCCTGCTGTCAGGAGGCAGGGAGGAAGGAAGGCTTGGCAGGCTCACCTGCCTCCCCAGAGGCAGGGGTTAGGGGTGGGGTGAATGGGTGTCAGCTTTGGGTAGGGGAGATGGAGAGCAGCCACTGTCCTGGCAGTTGCAGATGAGTCTGAGCTGGGGGCAGAATTGGTCTTATGGGACTGAGGGACCTGGGGGTTACTGTGAGGGGTCCAAAGAGGACCACTTGTCAGGCCTTTCTGGGTATTTTGGAAGGGTTGGCTGGACCTCAGCTTTGAGGTCTACATGGCAGCATCAGGCTCTCTGGCCAGCCTTCCCTAGCTTGGCAGCCTGGCATACTGAGCTATAGGGGTTGGAACTCTATCATTCTCCACATAAACTATTGGGGGCCACCAGGCTGAGCGCTCCAAGACAGTGTGTATGTGAGGGGTCCCCTGGTACTGTGTGACCATTACTCTATATGGAAGATGCCCCAGCTTTTTCAGGTTGCTCCACTGGAGTCCAAGGTGGCCTCTAGGGCAGGAGGAGACCATTCCCTGAGTCCCAGGAAGGGGATGTCTTCTGGCAGGTGCAGGACGGAACTGAGCTTCCTTGAAATTGCAAGCCTGTAGAGGAGATATGAACCCAGAGCAATGAGCCCTAAATTTCACAGCAGTTTTAATGACTTTCAAGGGAAGGCTTTGGGCTCATGGAACAGTCTAAGACTGAACAATAGGCCTAGGAATCCCACTTGTGCGGTTGCATGTGAAAAGGTCCCAGGTGTGGTACTTGGCTCATGTCTCTCTGTAGCAGTTGGTGGGAGAGGTCATTGAGTGTTAGATTGGCTTAGCCAAGCCCCCATGCCTGGCTTCCCTCTCTGCACAGTCCAGAATCTCAATAAACCTCCCTTCCCCAGGGTCTCTGATTTCTAGGATTTTTTAGAGGAGAGTCCTTGTAAAATGGTTTGAGCGTCTTCTCCCAAGCGTAGGGAGATAACAGGGTATTGTCTCCATGATGGCTGATTGGCCGGGGAGTGCAAGCAGGCCCTGCAGGTCAGATATTGGCCCTTCCTCCACTGAATTGGAGAAAAGGGTCAGGGGAAAGGTTGGTGAGGGGATGTAGTGAGCCTGGTGAGGGGAACCTTGGTGGTAGAATTCTGGGACAGCTGGGTTGACTGGGGTTGTTCTACCACGGGTTTAAAGGAGGCAGGGAGTCCAGATCATAGTTCTCAGACTGCTCTGGGGTGGGAGCCTAGGGCTGTGCTAACATGCCCATGGCTGGCAGCCTGAGGTAGGGGCTGCACTCAGACCCTTACCTGCTTCAACTAGAGTAGTTTTGCTTATGGATTTTACAAACCAGGTGACATCCTGAGCTTTTGGAGGAGGGCTTCTGAGGTTCAATTAGTTGGAAAATCTCTGTCTTAAGAGAGATACACCACTGGACAGATGCCCCCTCCAGCCCTGGCCAACTCCGTGTCTGTTCCAGATCGTGAAGATGCTGTGGCAGCTGCAGTGTGAGTAGAACTAGGAAGTACCAGGGCCCAGCCCTGGGCAGATGGGGTGGGGGCTCCCAGAAAAGGCACTTGTGTCTGGGGAAACGTGACTCTGATTGGAAATTGGACTTGGAGGAGAGCCCTGGAGAGCTGCATGTTGGAGAGCTCTTGGGGTAGTGGTGGCTGAACTCCTGAGTGGTGGGTGATAGCATGGCAGTGCCATGGGGCAGCCAGGTCGGAACTAAGGACTGGGGGCTCCAGTAGGGTGCCTGTAGAAGTGGATCAGCCTGTTGAGCTGTTGGCTGGGAGAAAGCTTACAACAGCCTGGTCAGAGCCTGGGTTCTGTCCAATGGGCTTAGAACCCCCTGTGTGTGTTTCTTCTTACCCTGCTCCAGCAACCTGAGGGAGTGAGTGGATAGGTCTGAGTCCACACTGGGGCCAGAACATCAGTGGGGAGCAACAGGGCCATGGCTGGGGG